CAACCATATAACAACAGATTCACGAATACGGTCATGTGTTTCTGTCGGCTCAGCAGGTTTATCCAAATAATTTTCAAACACAGACATTAGTAAAGCAACGTTCTTACTACCGTGAGCGTCGATAACTGCCAAACCTGCCTAAGAAATCAAGCAAGAAAATCAATATAATAACAATTAATATAGATAAGATCAAGTAATAGTCTTCCAGACCTCTAATAATTTTTGTCGCACTTGTGCATGAATATCTCCCACAGCTTCATCATTTATTAAGAATTCAAATAAAGGTTTCAAGTCAGTTGATTTTAAATTTTGTGCTAGTGTCCCAAGAGAAAGCGCTAATCCTACACGAGCTTCCCATGGGTCTTTTTTATTTAGCGAATCAGGTATTAAAATACCATATTCGTCATACTCAGGCAGGATCGGCTTTGCCTAAGTGCATGATTCGAAATAAAAAATTGGAATCTATAGTACTACTGCGTTAAGAAATTAATTCATAAAATAATTAATCGTAATAAATGTGTATTCACCTTTTCTTTATATTGTTCATAAATTAGTGACAACGTTATTAGCAGGATTGGAGGATCGTCAATGGAGAACAAAGAAGGGATCAATTGAATTACTGGGATCAATGGCATTTTGTGCGCCTAAACAACTATCAATTTCTCTTCCTACTATAGTTCCTCGATTAACAACTGTACTCTCAGATTCACATAAAGAAGTCCAATCAGCCGCAAATGAAGCTTTATTACACTTTGGAGAGGTTATTAGCAATCCTGAAATTCAAGCCCTCGTACCGATTCTGCTTCGTGGATTAAGCGATCCTGATAAAAACACTAATGCTGCATTGAACTCATTATTAGAAACTGCTTTTGTTCATTATATTGATGCACCGTCATTGGCATTGGTAAGGGATACTTTAGTATATCATTTTCGGATTGCGTTCGAACAGGATGAGCACGTTAACATTGTATCTGCTGTCTTTTGTTCTTGAAGGTAATGCCAATTCTTGAGCGAGGATTAAAAGAGCGTAGCACTGAGGTTAAAAAGAAGTCTTCGCAAATAGTTGGTAATATGTCATCTCTAACTGATGTTAAAGACCTTGTTCCTTATTTGCCACGACTTTTACCAAGTCTTAAGGAAGTATTAGTAGACCCTGTGCCTGAAGCCCGTGCTACAGCTGCTAAATCATTAGGTACTATGGTGGAAAAGCTCGGGGAAGATAAGTTTCCAAATCTTGTAAATGAGTTAGTTCATACTCTTAAATCAGATACTAGTGGTGTTGACCGACAAGGCGCTGCACAAGGACTTAGCGAAGTATTAGCAGGATTGGGTCTAAGCCGCCTCGAGGGACTTTTATCTGAAATTGTAATTAATGCTACTAGTCCAAAATCATATGTGCGTGAAGGATTTATTTCCTTACTTATTTATCTTCCAGCAACATTTGGTTTAAGGTTTCAACCTTACCTTGGTCGCATCATTCCTCCAATTTTATCTGGTTTAGCTGATGAATCAGAATATGTACGAGATGCCTCACTTAGAGCAGGTCAAATGATTATTGTAAACTATGCAACTAAAGCTGTAGACCTTTTACTTCCTGAATTAGAAAGAGGGTTGTTTGATGATAATTGGAGAATTAGACAAAGTTCTGTGCAGCTCATGGGAGATTTATTGTATCGTATTACCGGTATTAGTGGCAAAGTAACTGCTGAAGGAGAGGAAGAGGAAGAAACTGGCGTGACTGAAGCCAGTCGCAAAGTTTTATTACAGGCTCTTGGAAAGGAAAGACGTGATCGAGTTTTGGCTGCTTTATATGTTGTTCGACAAGATGGTAATATATCAGTCGTATTATTTATAAAATTTTCAGTAATTTCTTTGTTTATCAAAATGAAGATTCTAATAAATTTTATCTTTTTTAAGTATCTGGTCTCGTCAGACAGTCATCTTTGCATGTTTGGAAATCTATCGTTTCAAATACACCTCGTACTGTCAAAGAAATACTACCAATAATGATGGGCTTGATTATTAAGAATCTCGCAAGCCCAAGTTTTGAGAGACGTCAAGTAGCTGCACGCACTCTTGGAGAACTTGTTCGTAAGCTTGGTGAAAGCGTTATGTCAGAAATTATACCTATTCTAGAGGAAGGCTTAGAGTCTCCTGAATCAGATAAAAGACAAGGTGTTTGCATTGGCTTAAGCGAAATAATGAGTACAGCTGGAAAAGTACAAGTTATTGACTATGTAGATTCAATTATTCCGGCTGTTCGAAAGGCATTGGTTGATGAATCTGGTGAAGTGCGTGAGGCAGCAGCTCAAGGTAAGTTCCTTTGGGCATTATCTTATATATGGTTCACTATTGCAAATACGTATTTTTATTAATCATTTATATCTACATTTTGAAGCTTTTGATACACTTCAGCAACATGTTGGTGATAAAGCAATCGATGAAATATTACCTACTCTTCTTAATTCCCTTCAATCTGGAAATGATTCTACTTATGCATTAGAAGCTTTGAAAGAAATAATGACAGTTCGTGCTAATGTAGTGTTTCCAGTTCTCATACCTAATCTCATCACCGTACCTATTACTGCTTTCAATGCTCGGGCTCTTGCATCCTTGGTAACTGTTGCTGGTGCTGCTCTTAATAAAAGACTCTCGAACATTTTGACTGCTCTAATGGAATCTTTGAGCATGGAAACCGATGAAGCTGTAATTTTAGAGCTTCAAGAAACTGAACGTGCATTGTTACTTTCTATCGATAGTATTGAAGGTCTTCAAAACTTGATGATAATGCTATTTGAAGCAGTTAAAAGTGATGAACCTGCAAAACGATCCGGTGCCTGTGATATTGTTGCAATATTTTGCAGTGAGACGAAGATGGATTTTTCAAGATACACAACAGAATGGATACGAGTTTTAGTATCACTTTTAGATGATCATCAAATTGAGGTAGTCAAATCGGCATGGAATGCTTTAAATGCTGTGACCAAATCTGTAAAGAAAGACGATCTAGAACAATTGGTTATACCCCTTCGTCGTTCAGTGAAAGGTGTCGGGGTTCCTGGAGTTGACTTACCAGGATTTTGTTTACCAAAAGGAATAAGTCCTATACTTCCAATATTTTCACACGGATTGATGTATGGTACTGCCGAAATTCGTGAACAATCTGCTTTAGGAATAGGTGATCTTATTCAACGAACGTCTGCTGATGCTCTCCGACCATTTGTGACACAAATAACGGGTCCTCTTATTCGTATAATCGGTGATCGTTATCCTCCTCAGGTGAAGGCAGCTATATTGCAGACATTGAGGTCCGTAGTTTATTTCAATGTTGTCATTAACAAAAATTTAAATATTGAGTCGTTTTTACTGACACATTAAATAACATGTAAATATTCAGTTTATTACTTGAAAAAGTTTCTGCCCTTCTTAAACCTTTTCTTCCACAACTTCAACGGACTTTCGTCAAATCTTTGACCGATCCAACGAGTGCCCTTGTTCGATCACGTGCAGCAAAGGCTCTCAGTACTTTAATTTCATTACAAACTCGCGTGGACCCTTTGATACTAGAATTGGTTACTGGAATAAAAACGAGTGAGCCTAATGTGCGCGAAACTATGTTGAGTGCTTTGGAAAGCATAGTGAATAAGGCAGGAGATAGTATGAGCGAGGCTTCAAGGAAGGGTGTTCTTGGAGTTATTTCAAATGGGTTAACTGATTCCTCCGGTATGTATATATAATTTGCGTTTAAATTACGATTTTGAATTATATTGAATATGATATATGTATATTTGTAGAAGGAATGGTGGTTGGTGCCGCACGTCTTCTTGGAAGTCTGTGTAAGCATATTCCGTCTCAAGAATCTATGCCTCTCATCACGTAAGTCCTATTATTTATTTGGTCATAAAGAATTTGTTTGGTTAATTTCATTTGCTATAACGTTCGCTTTTTATATTATTAGAACTTACATCCTATCAGGAGAACCAACACAAAGTTCGCTTTTGGCCATAAACGCAATTCTAGTAGAAGCTCCGCGAATCTTTTTTGATTTAGGAATTCATAAAGAAATAGTTAATATTGTATCTATGGGTAGCAAGAGTAATCAAGTAAATTATTTAAATTTAATTTTCATAAAATATTGGCTTTATTTATATATGATGCTAATCATTCTATGTTCCTTTTTAGCCATCGATTGCAGATAATGCAATTATTGCAGCTGGTAAAATTTTACTTACAGAGCTTTATCATGAACAAAATACAATAAGTCACCTTGTGGAAGCATTGGTTAATGATGTCCGTGAACCTGCTACTTTGGTTGGAGAAACAAAACGATTAGCTTTGGGTGTCTTTCGAGTAATTGGAAGAAAATATCCACAGGTATGGTGTTAAATGTTTTATGAAGTTATACGATTTTATTATTAAGAAATTATTTTAATTTTTAGATTTTGGAACCCCATCTTTCCGAGATCATTCCTCAAATTATGGTATGTGCTCGTGACCGAAATATACCAGTGAAACTTGCATCTGAGCGTGCATTGGTGCATGTACTTCAGCTTCTGGATGGCGAAAATGTGATGCAGGTAAATGCATTTCTAGTCTCTCGAAAAGCTTAATATTTATTACTAATATTTTACTTTATTCTAGAACTATTTATCAACAACTGATTCTCAAACAGCCAAAACTTTTATTGATTTTCATAAACGCGTTTTATCCAAACTTGTTTCACAAGAACAACAGAAAATAGAACAATTGCAGGCAGGTTATATGAATGAAGTAGATGAAGATGCAGAGGAAGAACGAGAAATTTGGGCTGTTGGCAGTGTTGGATTTTTTGGAACTAATGTCGAACAGGATTAGTGTTCTATTTTATTTGTACAGTTTGTGTTATGATTGTATTATAAGTGTAATAGATGATAATTGTATCTATTAATTGCATCTCGATGTAGTGGTTATTGAGATTGCATAATTAAATAAATTTAAAAAATACCATACTATTGATTAAGCTAATATTACCCTTTAATATTATAAATTAAATCCAACTTAGAAAGATATCACTTTTCAAAATAAATATAAAGGGCCATGTTTTATTGTTGCATTAATGCTGGACAATTAATTATTGTATTCACTTTGTTATGGGTGTTTTTGTTATATTATGCCATTGTATTTGTTGGTGCAAACTGATTAAGATCATGGATATATAATTGTATGTTCGAAATTTTATACCGTAATAAAAAAATTTATTAAATTTATATATACTAGGTGGTCTATTTTTAAATGAAATTAAATTTTATATTGCTAATTGCAGCTTATTGCTAAAACTTGCTTATGCTGAAATTTTGATACGTATACGTATGAATTTTAAAATTTTGTACGTAGGATGTTAAAATTTAAATTATATAGTATTATTAATTAATATATAAAAAGAGTATACGTATAAATTTTATATAGTAAATAATCATGATACGTACGGTATATATATTTTAAATAATACCAATTTTAGCATAAACTGCCAATTTTTTTTTTATACGTACGCACGTACGTACGTACGTAAAAAAAAAAAATCAATACGTACTGTATTATATATATTATATATACTTATATACAGTATATACTATATATGTATGTATATATATAGTATATTTGAAAAACTATCTAATGCGAGCTTATCAAAATTAAATACTGTATACGTATAATTCGATAGATGATAGACCATTTAAATTTTACATAAGTTATACGTATATGGCATGGCGCTGGAAAAGAAATGACAAAAAAATTCTTTACAAAAAATTAATTATCTCGCGAGCTATTGATCGGAATTATGTGATTTTGGTATCATTTGATTCGTCTTATCGAGACGAATCGAATGGTGCCAAAATCATGTAATTCTGGTCGATAATTCACGAGATAATTAATCTTTCGTAAAGAACTTTTTGAATTTCTTTTCTAACACCAAGCATATATGTATTTTTTTTTTTTTTGTAATTGCAGAATTGTACTGAAAAATCTTTAATACAATTTAAATATATATATATATCTAATAATCAGGGATTAAATTACATATTTATTTTTAGGTTGATTATATATATATATATATATATATATATACAGTAATATTTCTAATAAAAATAAAATTAAACAAATCAAATCATGCTATTTTGTTTCTGTCCAATTTATAATTTTTTAAGTTAATCCAATAATAACCTTGGTTAGTTATCTATCTAAATCATTGTTGATCGTGTCATTAACGACATGCACTGTACATATGCATGTTGCGAGGTACGTACGGTGCAAGAAATCTAAAAACCGCAATTACTCGAGACAAAACATAAACATTTGAAATTAATATTTTAATTATACGTTACATTAATACTAATATTGTGGTTTTAGATTTCTTGCATGGGAACAGTAAGTTTAAAAAACCACAGTCTCTATATATAGTTAATGTAACAAATGATTAAGTAGTAAATTATTCTTAAACTATCGACTTTAATATATAATATAATATACATCTATTGTTGTTATCAATATTTATTCTGTCTCTATGAAAATGACGGATTTCTTGCGTCAAGACAGGAAATTTAAAAAGCCACATTCTATAGAATAAGTGTAACACAATTAAGTAGCACATCGAAATCAAGTGCTTCTTAAATTATAAACTTCAATAACGATAAAGTATTTTACATACACACTTTTATTGGTATTGGTAATAAGAAATATTATAGTTCAATGTTTATACAGTACTTTTTGTCTATGTATGATTGTGATACTGTTTTTTGGCAATTTACAACAACTTACTAGAAATTTTGTAAACTAATTATTTTTATAACTTTTTATTTAGTTTTTGACAAACAGATTTGCTTACTTAGATGCTACAAATTCAACTCTGATTTATTTATAAATATATATATATTTAATATATTTAAATAAAATTTGTATAATAATAATATTTAAAATAAAGATTATATTTTTGTACTTAAATTATAAGTAAAAATGTTTGGTTTGCTTATAAGCTAAAAACGTAATTTTAAATTTTTTTTTTTTTAAAAAAATAAAAATTTTTAATAAATTTTTTAAATTTAACAATATAGTTTTTAATACAATTGCAGCTTATATAAAGAATAACAATTTTTATTATATTGTATATATAGAGACTTGTATTAGAAGTAAAAAATTTTTTAGGTTTAAAAATACTGTATATACGTAGTATAATAGTTTAAATTTTTTTAAAAAAAATTATAGTAAAAATTCTAAAACAAAAATTTATATATATATTTTTCACTCTATATTTTAAAAAAAAATTTAAAGAAATTAATAAAACAAATCTTAAAATAAAAACATATAGCTAAAATTATTTTAAGATTTTATTAAAGATTTTTTAAATATAATTAACAAATTTATCTGCTTTGCAAATTAAAAAAATAACTATACATATATATATTATATAATATATATATATTATAATTAATCTTTTTTAACCTATAATTTAACCTTATTTTATTTAAAATTTTTGTATATAGTAAATTAAAATTTAATTTATCAATCCTGTATTTAATTACTATATTAAATAATATATTAAATAGTTTTGTAAACAATATATTATTAATAAAAAATTAATACTAATAGAGTTAAATACTAGATTAAAAAACACTTTTAATTAAATATAAAAAATTATAATTTTTGCTTTGACTAAATTTTAATTAATACAAATTATTTGACTATTCTACGTTTTATTTGTCCTAGCCTTGCCAAATCTCGATTATCCATTGAGTAGCATTATGAAAACATCATCATAAGTTATATATTGGAAGTTTAATCAAATCAATAGAATTGAGCCAAATAACGTATACTGTATTATCTAAATAAATTGCTAGGATTGAGCCAGATGAGGCACTCGAATTAAATATATAAAACGGAATATGTTACAGAATTAACCAAATCTTATTAGCAATTGAGTCAATTGATATATTTACAATAAAAAAGAACAGGTATGAAGACTCGCTTTTGGATTTAAATAACTAATTAAAAATTATACCAAATCATACAAATAATAAAATCTAAGTGCGGTCATCATCAAATTAATTAAAATCATTAAAATATGCTAGAAATTTTGCAATTAACATTCACAAGGCAGTTCCACCTTTCTCAAACAATTATGTTGAATCTAATCAATTCACTCATCAAAGATAGCATTTATAAAATTCTAAGAAACTATTCACAAGTAAGCATTTGTTTAAGAAAGAACTAAAATTTACAATCGAGTAAAATTGGGCATTCCATCTTCAACATTTTCTATTAGTACAAGAGAGGAATAGAATCATATTTGAAATGAGGTTTAAAATTTTGCAAACATGTAATTTTTTTTTTTTTTTTGAAAAAAAAGAGGGAATATATACCTAGCCACGAGAGAAGGTCATCCCTTTGCATTGAAACATATTCTATAGACATAAATTTAATAAATAAATACTTAATTACAGAACGGATAAATAAGAAAAATTATTGAATATAACGAACCATACTCCTCTAAATCTTCTTCATCTTCTAAACCTTGATATTAGGAATAAATTTTTTATAGTTAAGAATACATGGACAAATTACAAAGTTATGATAATTAAACAAAAAATAACTTACTGCTATTGGATTCACGAGCAATTAATGAGGGGAAATCATTCCCATAACCATTGTAGTCATTTCCAGAAAATTTTATACCATCATCGTCACCAAGATCTGTTGTTCTTACTCGCTGACTTTTATATATGTCATATTTATATAAAGGAAGGTTTAATTGCAAATGTTTCCGTTCATCGGCAGTCATAAATTGCAAACAAATTTCCGAATGGGTATTATTGCAAATTTCATTATACCACTCGGACAAATTATCAACCAATTGTCGGGTATTAGGACGATTAAATTCGTCATTATCCCAGCATTGTAACATCAACGTTTCAAAGCATTTTGGTGTTTCAATCTTAATACGTGGTCTGTAACCATCACATATATCATATACTAAGTCCGCGTGTTTGTCACGTGGGGTGTCAATGAACGGCGGGCGTCCTGAAGCGATTTCTGACATAACAATAGCAAAACCATAGACATCAACGGATTTAGTATATGGTTTTCCACGTAATATTTCAGGCGCCATGTATTGAATAACACCAATTGCTTCGTTATATTCGCATAACTTATTAGCAGATCCAAGAAGGCCTAAATCACTTATTAACACAGAACCATTATCATATAACAAGTTTCCCGTATGAATATTCTTGTGACACAAGCCGGCTTGATGAATAGAATGAAGCCCTCTGGCAATATCAAGTAGGATTTCGATCCTTTTTATCCAAGTAAACTTGTTATAATTTTCTCGAATATAAGTTCGCAAGTTGCCCTGTTCAACAAGTTGCATTACGATCATATAATCTTTGGTTTTCGGTTCCTGTGTTATTCCATATATATGAACTATTTTTTTGCTATTACAATAAAATGATGATTCTAACTACAATTTTATAAAAGAAAATTGTGTTTGAATCAAATTATGTGATAAAGTTTTATGAGATGGCCATTAATTTATTATTATAATAATAAACTCACCTCATTTAAAAATTGAGGGCATATATTTTGAGAATTATGAAGTTGCTTGAGAGCAACTTTTTTTGGACAATTTCTAGGTGATTGCTCGAAATTGCAACCGTTAACTTTTTCTAGGATTTCTCCATCTTCCCATAACGCAGAATAAACAGTGCTAAATCCTCCTTGACCCAAATACTGAATATTGGTTAGACGATCGTAAGGTATCCATTCTAAATATTGACATTGCGATGAATTTAGTCGTGAATTGTTTTTGATCAATTGATCAAGGCTCTTGTTATCATTGATCCATATATTGAAATTATTTATTTGTTGCGGGTTAATATCTTCTTGATGAGGGTATACTTCCGCACGCGATTCAAAGTTTTGTTTCAAATTTAGGTTTGGAATAGTTCGGTTTTTAATAGTTTTCGATCCAATTTTTATGTAATTATGTACCATCTTTACTGATACTTCAGTAAATTCCGGAGATTTTTTTTTAAAAAAAAAAACTGGATAACGAGCATTTTATGCGCGTTTAAATAAATTTTTTAATGTATGCAAAATGTAAACAAATGCAGAAACAGGTATAATAACTGCATTTTCGCTAAACACTTAAAATAGGCAAACAGATTCTCCGTTCCTCATATGTCTTACTTAGTGTTTATATAAATATGACATATTTTATGGGTCCCAGGTGCAGCCGAAAACTAACGCTAAGTTTGTATCAAAAATAGTGTTGGCATTGTACATTGTATACACATTGCACCTGTCTTTACTATATTTGATATCTTCACGCATTTGTTAAGTGTCACAAATTATAACCAAAGATGTGATTTATTTACTCGTTCATTTATTTATTTATCTGTTATTTACTTATTATTTATTTATTTATTTATAAAGGTCATTCTTTATAATGAAAATTTATACATTTACTTATTACAATATATTCATAATTATATATTACGAAAATCATGAAGATTCATACAGTATGTTAATATTAATGTTTATATAAATTGCATAACCAGTCATAGAGGGTTTACTACAGAACACTTCATATAATGAATTAGTTAATCACATTAAACCTTTTTCAACAAATATTTTTTCAAAAAATTTTTGATGATATGCGACCTTTCTAAATCTAAACATTTTCCAACCGTTTAAAAGAGATATGACAAGAATTTAGATAATATAAAAAATATGAAAAGTTGAAAAATTTTTGAAAGAATACTTGTAAAAAAGGTTTATTGTTCTATATACCTGTGAATATATGTGTTGATTTTATTGACCGGTTGATATTTGCTAAATTTATCTTTTCGCTAGGGATGTGAAAAGGTCCCGATTCGACTCCGAGTCAGGCTTGGTCGCATCTGCACGTGCATCTAGTATATGAATGCATGCAAAATACTGAAATATGCATGAATACACATGTACGAATGCGAGTCGAAGTCCCAGCCTGACTTGGAGACCGGATCGGACTTTTTACGTCCTTAGTTATCGTACATGCGTACCGGTACGGATTTAAATCTTTATTTGGGCATCAGCAAAATTTGGATTTTAGCCAGCATTACGAAATTAACATATAATTTAGACCAGGTCCATGATCCTGATTTTTGCTCGCACCATAGCTAATTATTTCATGTGATCAAAAGGGATTTCGAACCAATAAAAATGTTTTTTTATTTATTGGTACAGTACAATATCTTTAAAAACTTTCAAAAATTTTGATTTATTTGGATTTTGTGCAAATATTTGGAAAAATTGGAAAAATTTTACGTGGCCCTGCTTTATCGTTATATAGATTATCGGGAATCGGATAATGTTGATATTTAACGATTTTTAAAATTTTTAGAGGTGCGTTTTGTTAGTCTTTTTTTAAGGTTGAGCCGGGCTTTAGGATTAGAATTATTATTAATAAGAGAATATAAGCGGGTTTGGTAGAGTTTATATTTTAAATTGAGACCCCCAAATTTCAGAAGCCAAGTAATTTTAACATCATTACAGCGCATTTGTAAAATTAAGCACACCAAATCCAAGTATTTGGACTAAATTTAATTACTAAATTATATACTAATCAATCAATGTTAAACCCTGAAAAAAATTTTTGGACCTCTGATACATCGATAACGCGTCTAACTCATCTTTCCCACTATCTAAATCATTTTGACACACTTTATTAGACATGAAAATTTATATATAATGATGCACCCTAACTTGATAATATTCATTTGCATAGCCAAAATTCAATATTATATTAGATTTCGAAGTATTTTATAAATGCGCCGTAATGTATATGCTTGAGTTTTACTTATATTATGAAACCAAGAATTTCAAATTACTATTAAATGTATTGCGTTATTATGTTAACCACATGACATTTCTATCAAACCCCAAAAAACAATAAACTAGCGTCAAATCCATCTTTCCACCGTCTTTCCTGTAAAATAAGTAAAATAAAATTATCCATAATGTAGCTTTCGAATATATCGATATAGATATTGTATAAAAAGTGATGGCACTAACTTACACTACACACGTCATACACTACAGTATTAAGATACGGTGACATATAATAAATCAGTTTACTGTAAAGTAAATTAGGATTTTAACATAAAATGATCCAGTCAAATTTATGCCAGACTGAATTATGGACTAGAGACCATTTGAACTGTCTCAGGTTAATGTTAGCCGAAAATGTTTGAGTTTATAGAAATATTTTGACATTTGATATTTAGTCTACCGAAATACTAAAATAATGTCGAAATTCTAAATTATGCCGAAATGTCTAAATAATGTCAAAGTGTCTAATTAATGTCGAATGTCCAAACTAAAAAAATATATAAACTTATCCGGTAGGTACTATGTAAACACTGACGGAAAAATTTTTACATTATTTCCGCAAATTTTTATTAAAATCATGTGACAAATTCTAATATAAAATCTGCGGAATTACCGTAAAGTGCCAACTGATGTATCCGGTATTTACAAAGACTAGAGATATACCCGCTGCATATTTCTCATTCAACTATATCAGTCTTCAATGGTTTACACCAGCTAGATATTCTTCAAGCGTAAAGATGCTATTATATATAATATGAATAGCATGCGGATATAAATAGAGTTCTTATCCGCAGAATACCCCGAGTACAACTCATAGATAGAAATGGGCACGCGCGTGATACGCGGGATTTTTTCAGAACCCGCACGGGATTTTTAATATGACCTCAAATAAAATTATTTGACCGGCATTATCGCATCATCTGGCTGGCATTAGTATATTATCTGGCCTGTATTAACGTATTTACCATAAATTCTCAAAGTAGCGGGTATGGGCAGGGTTTTTGTCCCTCATCGAAGAGGGATGAACACGGAGTAAAAACAAGACACAAAGAAAAAAACAAAATGGAAAACAAGTATGAGTCTTGCAGAGAATCGCTGTGAAATGGGAAGGCTCTAAACGTATGTTACCTTCTCTTTCGCCTACACAAAGCCCATTAGCCTAGAGGCTCCCAACTCAGCGGTACTAATCGCTCTCAAGTAGACCTGGACTGCCCCCGAAGACCAACCACCAATTGACTGGATTTGCTCCATAGTTATTCCACCCTTCATAGCTGCAGTCGCACCGCCAATCCTCAAACTATGTGCCGTGTACCTTCCGTGTAGCCCAGCATTATCCGCAAACTGCTTAACTATTGCTGACACCGCTGCCACGGACAACTTCTCCCCGCTTTTAGCCAAAAATAGGGGTTTCTCCGGTGACGTAGCTGGCCTCAACCTTAAGTAACAACTCAACAATTTTACCGGGCATACTCTACTAGCCGACCTCTCCACCGGGATAAACTTGCCCTTCCCTACCTGATCCGTCTTCGATTTTGACACCCTAACCCACAACTTTCCATCCCTTTTCATCACATCAGACCTTTTCAAATTGCATAATTTGCCCGGTCTATGTATAACCCTTAAACCCAAGGTAACTAAAGCCAAATCACGTGCCCAAAGAACCTTACTAACTCCGGGTGGGGCAATCAATATATCTCTCAATCACTGTGACCGGAAGAGGGTCTCTCGGCCATTTCTCCTCAACCCTCTCCCGCACATCAGATCTCTTAATACCTTCCACAATCTACCGGACTGAACTACTCTTTGTAGGGTCCTCAAAACCCCTCATTTTGTGCTCTCTAGCTACTGCAGCTAAGCACGTTTGTATTCCTGCTGCTCTCCCGGATAGCTCCATCCAAGCAAGGAAAGCTGCCAAAAGTTCTCTCGATGCTGGATACGGGGCCGAACCAACCCAATGCGCAAAACCATCAAACACACTTTGTGCCTTCAGCAAGCACCTTCTGTATTCCTTGCTAATAGAATTACCCATTAAATACTCTGCCCTATTCAAGAGCTTTTCGACCAATCCAAATGTATCACCCTCAGCACCCACTGACTGTTCTTGCACGGCTCCAGGTTTCCCGAAGGTCCCGGCAAAATAATCCGGGTTGTTGGCGGAAGCTCAACTTCCTCTCTTGGGAATTCACCACCAGGGGCCACCACGGGGCTGAGACCCACACTGGAACTATAATCACTATCCATGCCCACATTCCCTTGCATGGCATAGAGCCCTGTGAATCAAACCGAAAGGGGGGCAGACATAATTTCTTGCTCCGGCCTGGTCCTGGGTAAAACAATCTACTGCCTCCGTCCCTGGGCAGAAATAAAGACTGTTGAACCTTCAGGTTTTTGCGTTTAGGTGGCTCACAAACCTGTCCACCTCGAACTGGCCCCAAACCTGCTCCAACTGCGTCGTTACTTCTGAACTCAACACCCAATCCCCTTGGTCCAACACCCTTG